ATTTGGGTGTACTCGGTGTTCTGCCGGTGCTGGCTATAGTGGATGCACCAGACACGGAACGCGTGCGTTTGAGCGACGGGGAGCCGAGTGATTGGTGTCGGAGTAGTTGGGGTTGGAGACCTACGCTCGTAGCTACTCCTGCGCGGTGCATAGACAAATCAGGTACCGACATAGCATCGAACGACTGCCTCTGAACAGGTGGGGGTCGTTTCTCGAGGTACGGCGCTTCCACCTTCGCTTTCACCCACTGTTGGCTCAGCCTATGTATTATCCCTGGTAAATCCTCCCTGAACATCTGCCTTAGCTGTCCCTCGATCTCCTTCTGGATGAATTTCTGAATGACGGCAATAGAGTCGAATGTACTGTTGATATCGACGTTTTGGAGGGGGTCTGTTTTGAATACGAGGGTGATGCCTTTTTGTTTGGAGACGACGAGGACGACGTAGGAGCTTAGTTGGAAGTGGGATAGGCGCAGGAGCATGGGGACGACGAGGGGCTGCTTTGCTGCGAGCATGCCGCGGGACCCGCCCATTAGGTGAATATCGGGTTGTTTGTGGTTGAGTGGGTTGGCCTGGAGTAGAAAAATTGTTAGTGTGTAGCGGAAAGAGAATATAAGGAGTACGTACCTGAACCTTTGTCTTGAGAACGAGATGAGCGTCTCCAGAGTACGTCAGGCGAAATATGCCTCGAAACTGATCAACAGTCAGATCGCCAATATCGCGAATTTCCAGCTCTGGGGGCTTTACTGTGGGTTAGCGGTGAAAGTAGGCACGAGTTATAGTTGAACACACCTGAGTACCCATCTCTAGCTCGACGACCTCTATCTTGTCGGCGATGATGGGGGGTTTGTTTCCCTTGTTGAGGGCGGTATTGAGCATCTGGATTGCATCATAGTGGAACTGGTCTGAGAAGCGGGGCCAGTTGAAGGTGAACGACATGGGCGGAGGAGGGGGAGAGTGGTATTATGGAAGAGTCATCCAGGAGGTGGGGATGAGGGGAATGGTGAGAGGAGTTCAGCAGAACATGCCGAGGGTGGTGAGCAGGGCAGAGTTTGTTGCAAGGTGCCGAGAGAATGCGCAAATTGGCCATGGACTGGGGTTAGGGGTAAGAGACCACGGGTGTACCGAATTGGCAATGGAAGTGCTTCCGTTGCTGCGAGTTCGCCGTGCACACCTATCCTTCACTATACCACCACTATCACCATCGCTACATCTTGTTGGCACACGCTATACCACTGTCTATACCCGAAACTAATATTCATAGCCTGCCATGAACGGCGTGCGCAGGCTGCTCGGCACTGCTACCGGCTCGTCTCCACCGTCCCCCGCACAGGACCAACAATCCACTGCCCCTCTAGCTTTCAGCTCAAAGGCAGGCCCGTCATGGCCCCCTGCATCCCCTACCGTCACTCAACAGTCTGCCCTCCCCACAGACAGTCCCAAGGCCTCCACTGCTGCCCTCTTCCTCAAGAAAGACCGCCAAAAGTCCCAGCCACCCGCAGACGATGACACACCCAACTCCTCTTTTCAGTCCAACCGCTACTCATCGCGTACCACCGACTCCTCCTTCTCATCTCCCAACCGCTCCTTCAATGGCCCCGGCTCCCCCATCTCCGGCCCCTCCTCCCCACGCGTCCAGCCCAATCGCCTCATCACACGCAAATCCGTCACCGCCGATGGCGAGTACAAACGCAACTCGGGACCCATGAACACGCGCGACGAGCTCCTCATGAGTCTCCTCGCCAGTGAAGCAGTTGTCGAGAGCCGCGATTTCCAGATCCTTAGCTCCGAAGAGGTCGAGGAGCTCAAAAAGGTTCGTGTTCATCTTTCGTTTGCATCATGCCAGTAATTTAACAATAGCATTTAGGAACATCAAGTACTTCAATCACGGCTAGGTGCAATGTCAAAGAAAGTATCTCTCGAGACGAAAATTCGCGATGCAGCCGTATCCCTGTCCAAAGTGAACGCCTCGCACAAAAAGGTCTCCAAGCAGACCGAGGAGCAGCTCGAAGCCGCCAACCGCCGCGTCGAGGCAGCACAGAAAGAGCTGTGGCGCGTCTCGGAACGCGCGAATGAGGTGCACAAGAAGCTCATGGAACATCGCGCAGGCGTGCTCAGCCTCTCCGTACGCAGCATGGAGAAGAAAATGGCGCCTAATGGTGATGATTCGGGGTACGATTCGTCCAACAGGAGTACCCTGATGAGCCCAACGACATCGTCGATGACCGGCACCTCCAGCTCTTCGAAATCCCGCTTCGACGGCGCACATCTCTTCGCCGGGCACGCAGACACCATTGTGCCTAAACGGAAGCTCTCGGCGGAGGCTGCTGCTGCCGAGATCACCGCACTCGAAGAGAAGCTGAAAGCAGCCACCAGCTCGCTTGCTGCTGCGTCGAAGAAGCAGGTTGAAATGACACGTGAGCTGTCGCTGATGCAACTGGAGAAACAAGAGGTGGAGACGATGATGGGGATGGATCTACAAACCGCGGAGGAGACGATCTTAGCTTTGGAAAAGGAACTCCCGAGGCTCGAAGGGATGGATGAAGAGGTTAAGAAGCTGATGCAGGAGCGGAATGAGTGGGAGGAGGAGAGGAAGAAATTGGAGGATAAAGCGAGGCTGGTGGAACCTCTCCAATCACGTCTGTCGGATCTGGAGGCACGTAATGGCGATGCAGAGGGAACAGAGAAGCTCCTTGCTCAGGTTAGAATGGAAGCAGAGCGCGAGATCGAAGCCAAAGAGAAACTCATCAACGCGCTACGCGAGGAATACGAAGCCGAGCGAGAAGCATGGGATCATGAACGCGCGGATATGGAGGACGACAAGATAGAGGACCTCACGCGACTTCAAGACGAGATGGATCGTCTACGCGACGAGGATGCAGCGGCACTGCAAAAAGCAAACGCCGAGTTAGACTCGGGGCTTGCTGTGCTCCAGAATCTGGTGAAGCAGCATGGGATTGTGCTGTTCTCGCGGGATGGGTCGCTGCAGGGAATGTTGGAGAGCGTGGGCACGCATTTGGAGGGTGTCCATGCGAAGTTAGAGGGGTATGTGAAGGCTCAGGGAGAATGGGAGGCGGCGAGGAGGAGGTTGGAGGATGATGTAAGGAGTGGGCTTGATAAGAGGGAAGCAATGGCGAAGGAGTTGGAAGAGGTGAGGAGAGAGAGGGATTTGGCGAGGAGAGATACGATGACGCTGGAATCGAGAGTGAAAGTGAGCATTGCAAATTCTTCGTTAGACATAATGTTAACATCAGCTACAGTTGGCAGACGCTATGGGCTCAACACGCTCCCCCATCACACCAATAAGCACCTTCCCACCCGAATTCCCCATCACCACTGACCTCGACGCTGCCAAAATTATCTCTATCCTTACTCCTCTCTGGCAGATCCTTCCTTCCCCAGAAGCCCGTGCCGCCAAATTTAGTACCCCACGCCCTTACCGAACCGGCTCCCCTACACCCAACGGTAACTCGTCCAACACCCCTACCTCGCTCTCTGACCTCGACGTGCGCTCGCTCAAATCCCTATACGACTCGCGGCAGACGCCTACCTCCCCCCGGATGGGTAACGGCGCGTTCTCAATTGAAGGTTTCGCACAGAGAGTGCAAGCACTCATCAATGATGATCGGGCGTTGATTGAGCGTTTGGTGAGGTTTGCGCAGGCGCATGATTTGTTGAAGAAGAATGCGGAGAGAGCGCAGAAGCTGGCGCAGGAGGGAAATACGGCGCTTGAGACGTATCAGAAGCAGGTCAGGATTTTGGAGGAGAGGAATATGAGTATGGCTGCGAGGCAAGCTGCTATGTGAGTAAACATTGTTTTGTCTCATGTAAGTCTTTGTTACTGATGAACTTGTTACAGGCAGGAGGAAGTCCAACAATTCCAAGAAGCGGTTGACCGCATATCGGCACAGAAAAGCGAGGTCGAAATGCTAGCCGCCGAGCAAGCAGAGACGTGCCGTCAACTCTCCGAGGCGAATGATGTGCTCAGCGCACGCACGTTAACACTTGCGGAAGAAGCCGCGTCTGCGCCTGAGATGGTGCGCAAGCAGCTTGAGACGCAGTTGACGGAATGCAAGAATGCATTGGCGGCGGCGCAGGATGAGATTGACGCGATGCGTACTTCCGAACAGTCTCAGAGGATTGCATTGCTTGATGAACTCAATTCAATGCAGACGGAGAATGGGGCGCTGAGGGCGCAGTTGAGGGCTGTGAAGAAGTAGTTTTAGTTTGCTTGACACATGACTAGGGAGGGAAATCCGGATTCTATTTTTCATCTGGATATTTTATCGCATAGGATTAGGTTCTTTTCTCATTTATTTTTTACCTCTGCTTGTTTTGCATCGCATTGGGCTTTTTGGATTACCTGCATATAATTATTCCATTGTTGCTTCGGTTGAGAATCGATGTTTGTCCGTATTGAAGTTGAATGTTATTTCCCCTTTTGGATAATTCTATAATAGATTTTACAGCATTCGTAAACATCCAGCGGGTCTCTACACGTCATATTTCGGTCAGCTCGCTGCATTTGTGGCGTGAAGTCATATCGACACAGTTAAATCAGTATATAATATCAGAAAACTACATAAATTATGCTACAATATGATGGCAGTGGTAATATGCAATTGTAGGAGAGTTTAATTACAATTTAAAGAAAGTAGATAGTCAAAGGTAATATTAACCACAGTATTCATCTCCGCCAGAAGCTTGAAAGCACGGAGGAGAATTTGAAGCCATTTACAAGTGGTTTACACCGAGATAAAGTGCACATAAAATACATGACAACTTGAGCGTTGTAACCCTTCGACAATCCGATTTCCTCGATCCTAGATGTAAAAAACTAGAAATTAGCTTTTCACTTTATTTTAAGAAGGGATGCGCCAAAATATAATTAAATTGTGAACAGTCATTAATACATCAATAATGTTGATGACATCGCCCAAAAAAAAAGTTCTAAATCGACTGAGTATCACCAGAAAGAAGTATCAAATAAAAGCAGAAAATAACCCCCGGCGGGACTCGAACCCGCAACCTCCAGATCACGTGACGACATTCGAACGCCATAGAAGTCTGACGTCATAACCATTAGACAACGGGGGCGACGAATAACTAACTAAACATACTTACATATTTACCAGCGCTCACTATTTACACACTAACACTTCTGAGGCCAGTTTGAGGCCTGGAGACTTGAAAGGCTGGAAGGCATTTTAAAATTTTCTACAAACCTGCATGATTCATGTTAAAATAAGCGAAGGAAATGTTTGGCCTCAGTGAGTTCGTGAGGCAAACGGATGAGTACATAGTATAAAAGTCACTCTACTTGAATAATGGCTGGATACCCCCACAAGGTAAAATACATGTACCAAGCATGTACGCACGTGCACCTGTGATTTATTCAAGAACCTCAAATTGAGGTAGAGCCCTCGGTGAACTTAAGTTCAAATTCAGACGGTGAGAATTAAAAGTGATATCGTATGACGCAGGCATTTATATCAGATAACGAGCTAATTGAGTGAGAAAGATTTCATGGGCTATGCCAAGTGCCCAGTCATCATTCCTTGATATTTGCCCTTGTTTTCTTAGACATAGTCCGGCGTCTCTTAGAAATTATTGGAGACAGGTATCGTCAGACACAACTTGCTACAACCAAACCTGTTAGCGAACGTTGAGCGCACGCTGAGCTTACGGCGCTCTGGTACGTTATTTATGCAGTCATATATATGAAAGATAGCCCCAGTTAACCAACGCAATGCCTGCAGACAGCTCACCAGCCTCGTGCACTCCTCATTAACGCGCCGTATTACCTTGAGACGTACATATAACGTCCAGCTCCTTTCAACGTAATCTCCCCCAGCCTACCCGTAGGAGACCAAGATCGCTACATCTCCTCGAACACAATGTCGTCTCCACCGAGAGACGGGATAGTGCTGTCCAATACCTCAGTACTGTCCAGCTCTCCAGTATCCATCCGTGGCGGCTCTCCCTCTCGCCGTCGCAGCACATCCCCTAGTGAACTTAGCGACGTTACCTCCCGACCACCTCGGCACTCTCCCACCCTCGTTCGTTCTTACGACCCAAATGACCCGCAGGTCAGAGAACGTCAGCGTACCATGGATGTGGACATGGCCAGGCAGTTTGCGCTCGCACGGAGGGAGACTTTGCCCCAGGTATCGCCAGTAGTTGGCGTATCCCCATATGAGACTATGCATTCAGCACCCGAACATACTTTCCCGTCGATGGCCGCGTTGTCTCCTCATGAAGAGCGAGAATTGGATCATGCAAGAGATGCCAGCATGGATATCGAGCGTATCGACGAAGATACCTTAATGCCTAATCGACAGGGCTCTATCGCAAACCTCCAGCCCCATCTCCACCAAACCCACGATCCCTCCCTTCTCGTCACCCTCGGCCAAGCTGGCGCACAAATCCAAGACAGCGAAGACCCTTCCTCATCCACCTTCGGCCTCCCAACATACCAAGCCAATGTCTCACGCACCAATTTCGACTTCACGCGCATGGAAGAATTCGCGCGCGTCGAAAAAACAAACCTAGGCATGAGTTCCCCCGTCGCTACTCGCTTCGTCCTCCCAAGAACAGCGCCTCTAAACCGTCGTGAATCTCACCCAAAGTCTCCTCCACTATCTGATCTCATGCCACCTCCTCAGTCGGATGATGGTCCCTCTGACCCTTCTTCCTCTTCTCCGCGTCCACAGCGACATAGGAAGATCAGCCAGAGTAATACAAATCCCCGCACACATCGTAAAGGCGTTGGGGGCAAGATGGCGCTGTTCGAGACTAATACGGGCGAATCGTCCTCGTCTCTCCCGGCACGTCTGGGACTTGCGCTGGGCACGCAGAATATGCTCGTGGGTCCTTCATATGATAATATCGCTGGTGTACCCAGCACAGCTGGACTTTCGACTGGAGGAATTCTTAATACAGGACACGATCGACCCTACCGTTTCTCTTTCTATTCCAATGCATTATCTGCTACCATCCATGCTCGGAGCTTAAGTGAGCTCCCAGCAGAGGGCCAGTCCTTCGAGGATCTCTTCTCAGGCATAAACCCACATCCCGCACCTCCAAAGCAAGACCGAGGCAAAGACCGTCCTACCTCCTCACTTGCATTCAGCCCACCTCCCGACATCTCCCACCATCCAAGTCCCGCCCCCGCTAACGGACGTACCCTCAATATCGACCCAAACGCAAGCTACTTTGCCGGGACCAATGCGAACCGGAATTCCATCATCGTAGATAAGAAACCGCCCCCAGGAATCAATGGTATAGGGGACTCGGATACTAATACCTGGTGGCTTGACATCCAGAGCCCGACGGACGAGGAGATGAAGATGCTCAGCAAGGTGTTTTCGATCCATCCTTTGACGACGGAGGATATTTTAATGGAGGAGACAAGAGAGAAGATCGAGCTTTTCCGGAATTATTATCTCGTTTGTTTTAGAAGTTTCGATCAGGATCCGTATAGCCCAACGCATTTGGAGCCGTTGAATATGTATATCATTGTGTTCCGCGAGGGGACGTTATCCGTGAGTGCCATTTTATTCAACTATCCAACATCATCCACTGACATTATCGTTTACAGTTCCACTTCCGACCAACCCCACATCCCCAAAACGTCCGCCGCCGCATCAAACAGCTCAAAGACTACATCTCCGTCACCTCGGATTGGATATCCTACGCCCTCATCGATGACATCACCGATGCCTTCGGTCCTCTCATTCAAAGCATCGAATACGAGGTCGACTCGATCGATGAGCTCGTGCTCATTCTCAAAGAGGCGGAGCAGAGTGACATGCTGAGGCGTATTGGGACGTGTCGCAAGAAGGTCATGGGTCTTCTTAGGCTTATGGGTAACAAGGCAGATGTCGTGAAGGGTCTGGCGAAGAGGTGTAATGAGAACTGGAGGGTTGCGCCGACAAGTGATATCGGTTTATATCTATCTGATATTCAGGTGCGCTACTTTTGTTATCCTTCCTTCAACTTGGAGCTGCACTAATCACTCGCATTGCAGGATCATTTGATCACCATGACTCAGAATCTGAACCATTACGAAAAGATTCTGTCTCGCTCGCACTCTAATTATCTCGCACAGATATCCATCGAGATGACTGACGCGAACAATCAAATCAATGATGTTCTCTCCAAGCTTACAGCTCTTGGTACTGTTCTAATTCCTATGAATCTGGTAACAGGTTAGTATTGGTTCAAATTTATCATGGTTCTGTTGCTCATATGAAACCACAGGACTCTGGGGAATGAACGTCCACGTTCCAGGTGAAGGAACGGACGGTTACGCCTGGTTCATCTCCATCGTCGCATGTCTCGCGGCCTTCGCTGCTGTCGGGGGTTATTCTACGTACAAGTTTATGGTCCGACAATGATAACATTTTAGGAAAGATTCATGCATATTTAGAACACCTATATGTCCATTATATATTACCTCACATTAACCATGTAGATGACATCATGTATGTAGTTCTAATAACATAAAAAGGATCGTACGCGCGGAAAGCAGAGAAAAACGTCGAAGAGAGATAGAGGAAACAGAAAAACAACAATAAAAACAAATACAAGCATAGATTTATCGAACAGGAAGATATAATTAGGGAGCATTCATCATCAAGGACTTCACTGGAGGCAAAGTAGGGGAGGAGCTGCTTCCATTTCGTAATGGAGGTGGGACATATGCCGTTCGTGGAGACGTCTGCACATTCGTATTTGTGGGAGAAACGATCATTGCCAAGGACGGTGACAATGTCTGCACAGGTGTATGAGCAGGATGGGGTTGTGGGGAGATAGGCATCGGAGGAGGCGCAGGAGGTGCAGCACGCCTCTTCGTAGAGGGGCCAGCTTCAGGTGGCGCCGAGATGTCTTCCATGTGTTTCCGCTTCCTAATACCAGAGGGCTGAGGAGTGCCAGATGAACGGTCGTTTGGCTGACGGCGATTAGTTGAAGGAGGTCGCGAAGGAGTGGACATGGTGCCCCAGCGTGACCATGGCGGAGGTGGAGGAACGTGTGCATTTGATGCTGTCAACCCATTGCTGTAACCAACAGGTGCGGCTGTATTGTGCATAGGAAGAGTAATCTGGTGTTGATGAGCTGTAGCTGCATGCGAGGGCGATGGCTTGTTCGACGCGTGATGGCTAGAAGGCATAGACCGAGCCGAAGAACTATTTACTGCCCCTTCATCAGGCATTCCGGGCTGGAAGTCTTTCAATTCTACAAATAGGGTCTGCGTATAGGGACGTGGCATTTTCTTGTAGATGATGTCTCTGCTAAAGGTTTTCAGCATCTCTTGCGTATGAACATAGAGGTCCGGATCTGTCCGTTCTATTCCGAGTGATTAGTTTATGATAGCCATATATTAAAAAGGAAATAAAGCTTACCAATGGGAGTGACTCGTACTTCCGAGTACTGATACGTCTTGCCCTTGCGCAAGCAGCAAAGCGGACATATGAATGCGTGATCCACTGGAGCGTTAAGATCAGGTTGATAGAACACGCAACCAGCATGATATAGCCTATGGCACGAGTCACACTTAACAGTAGGATAATTGAGAAGATAGGTTGTACGACCTCGACATATGCAACGAGTGCCATCAGTCCAGTCGGCGTCCGTGTCCTGACCGAAAGTAAAGCGTGGCCTTCTCCTTTTCTTCGGTCGAACAAGAGGAGGTCGGCCAGCCAAAATTCGATGCAAGCCAGCCAAATCCAAACCAAAGGAGACATCGGGATTTGGGGAGACAGAGAACTGGATTTTGTACAGTTTACGCATATAATGTCGAACTTGCGGGATGTAGTCGGGACGCTGATTGGCAGGCTGGGAAGTGAATGATAGGAATTGTCCGATAATAGCTGATAAACGATCAACACGATGGATGATAATTTCAAGCTGTTTGTAATCTTCGGAATAATTCCTTGTGATTTCTGGCGCCTTTGCAAGGATTGTAGGCAAGTAGCAAAAGTGCCAACTTCGTTCCTTATGGATCGCGCCGTTCCAATGGTGGTGATCGCAGAACGGGCATGAACCTCCATTCTTTGCACATTCGCCATGGAACCTGGCAAAGCAATGATCACACT